TATACACACACATATATATGTAATATATTTTGGTATTATTATTTCATTAAAACTCAAGTAAGAAGATAAGCATTATTATCTCTATTTTAAAGCTGAGAAAACTGAGGCCTGAAAGTTTAAGAACTGCTCCAGTGTTGTCAAACCAGACAGTGACAGAGCTGGACTTTGGATCCAGAATAGTTCACTCCAGTGCTATTATTTCTTCTTTTTGCTTTTTTTTTTTTTTTTGCCTTACTAGGGATTGAACCCAGAGTCTTGCATATGGTAGGCAAGTGCTCTACTACTTAACTTGATCCTCAGTCTTTTAAGTTTATTTTGAAACAGGGTCTCACTAAGTTGCCTAGTTTGGCCTTGAATTTAAATTCTTCAGTCTCCTGAGTAGCTGGGATGACAGATGGGGGCCACCACAGGAGGCTCACCATTTTTTCTGCAATGTGGTTGTGTATGTATGTATATTTTAAGCAATGGGAACTGTTATCTTTGAATACATTCAAGAGGTTTTATTTCTGCTTGGTCAAAAGAAATTTTCCAGATCGGGTTAGATGAAGGAACAATGCTATAGTCTGAATATGGTTTGTCCCCTTTGAAACTCATGTTGAAATTTAATCCCCATTACAGAACCTAAGAGGTGATTAACACTCTGTCCTCATGCATGGATTAATTCATTCAAGCAATTAATGGATTAATAGATTAATGTGACAATGGCTTATTTCCAGATTGAGTCTACTGTGAAAGGTAGTTTGGCTAGGTCTCCCACACAATTCCTGACTATTCCAAGTGATACACCATGCTGCCTCAGAACCTTGCCAGCAAGGAGGCCATCACCAGATACAGATCTGCCCTTCAACGGATCAGAACCAAAAGAAACCTCTTTTATTTAAATTATTCATTCATTCTGTGGCACTTCATTATTAGCCACAGAACAGGGACTAAGACAAACACCTTGTTTCCTTTCTGATTCTCAAGCTATCATTCTTTAAGGGTATGAGACGTTACCTTGTTCTCTTCTGGCTCTTCAAATAGTCTACAAGCCCTATTTAGGTAAGCACAAATTAAAGTACCAGGTTATTTATCAGCACCCCAAAGCTGAAGAATTCCAATTCTTAAAACACACATACATATTCATCGAGTTGTTCTTTTCTTCTTTTTTTAAATGGCATTGGGAATGGAACCCAGGGATGCTCTACTAGTTTTTATTTTTTATTTTGTGAAAGGGTCTCACTAAGTTGTAGAGGCTAGCCTCCAATGTGAAATCCTCCTGCCTTAGCCTCTGCACCCAGCTCAATGGGTTATTTTTATCATCTCTATTTTACAAATAGTCTGCACAGAAAAAATATTGTAGCATAAGCTTAATACACTACAGCTATCTTCAGAAGCTGAATTAGAGGGTTTTAGATAAACAGAGCTTTATGGAAATAGAGTAAAACTTCGTATATGCAAGAACCAAGAAATGCATAAAGCCATAAAATACGGTCTTCTATGCATTTTCTTCTTTTACCTTGCAAACTGACAATTATCCAAGTTTATAAGGAGCTCTACTTTTGCTTAGAATGTTGAAAGCCCTAAAAGATTAGTTTTACCCTAACAAGAAGAAGATCTGGATAATCTATAAAAATCATAATTCTTTGGAGCCTATCAAAGATTAGAGGTCCTAAGGTAACTACATAAATTGAATTCAAGGGTGACAAGCCCATCTGAGGAGAGATGAACATACCTTTGGCAAAGAACAAGAAGAAGAAGAGACAGCAGCCTTAAAAGTGGGTAAAGAGAGCCAGGCACAGTGGCACATGATTGTTTTCCCAGCTACTTGAGAGGCTGTGGCAGGAAGATCACAAATTTGAGGCCAGCCTCTGCAACCTAGAAAGACCCTGCCTCAAAATAAAAAAATAAATGAAGAAAGGACTGGGGTTATAGCTCAGTGATAATGTATCCCTGGGTTAAATCTCTAGTACCAAAAAGTTGGTAAAGAAAACAATTTAATACCTACAATTTAAATAAATTCTTAAAGTCAGAACATGGGCCAGCCTGACAGAGTGGAATCCCTTGGAGCCCCAGAGCAAAAGGAATCCACTTCCACTGGCCTCCACTGAGACTTTGTTGTAGGACTGGGTATAAAATAGAAAACCTGAGTTCTCTCTCTCTCTCTCTGGGGTACACATGTGCTGTGCCTGCTAAAGCTGAGGGACAGCAGGAGTTCTAGGGTAATTAATCTGTCCATGCTCCATGTCCTTTAAGACCATAGGTAGTGATGAGCTTCCAGGAGATGCTAGGCATCTGGACTGTTATTTGATATGAAGTAAAAAGCAAGTGCCAGGGAGGGCAGGAAATCCCTCAGTGCCCAGAGCCTAATCTTGCTCTGACAGGAAAAGCTGTGCACCCCTGGGAGAAGGAAAGGAAACCTTCACTACCCCTGTTCTTAGGCAGATTGACTGCCACCAGAGGAGGAGTAGAAAATCCTTCCCACCTCTTACACTGACACATAGCAAAAGCAAATTGTCACTAGGAAAGAGAGAGGAAGTCCAGTAAGCTCCTAAATATGGACTGATTCAAAGCAGAATTCTACTTCTACTGGGGAAGCAGTAGGAAATCACCCTATAGTCTAGATCCTGCACTGCTAGTAGGAGCTGGTATCTGTCAGTGGGGGTGAGGCAGGCATGCTAAGACTGAGGTGGAAGGATGAAGACAGCATTAATGCTTTCACTCTGAGTGATACATTAGGAAATGAGGGCAGTCTGCAGCCTGGAGAGGGCAGGAAGATGGAAAGCCCTCTGTGGTGCAGGCCACATGTACCCCATTAATATATACATGATACCCCATTGATATGTATAATTTTTATGTATCAGTTAAAAAGTAAATCTAATTAAAAAAACACAAGGCAGTGGATAATCTAAAGACTGTGGTACAATGATGTTTAACTGTAGCAAAAGCAAACCCAAACCTAGCTCAATTAGTGATTGATTTGACTCAGTCCTCAATGCTTATGGCCTAACAGAAGAAGGAATGTTTTTTTCAGGATATTTGTATGATTTACCTTAATTTCTACTGCTCAATATAGGATTTCTAGCTTCTAGAACGTGATAAATAGATCCCTGTTGTTTATAAGCCACCTAGTACTTCGTTATAACAGCCTGAATGGACTAAGACATGGGTTGACCTCAACTAATACATCTAATGGTTCTTCTACTTAATGGTAAATTGTAGAACACAGTTCCCCAGGCTACTTTTCTTTTCTTTTTTTTTTAACATTTATTTATTTATTTTTTTAGTTGTAGACAATTCTTTTTTTTTTTTTAGTTCTTGGTGGACACAACATCTTTGTTGGTATGTGGTGCTGAGGATTGAACCCAGGCAGCACGCATGCCAGGCGAGCGCGCTACCGCTTGAGCCACATCCCCAGCCCACCCCAGGCTACTTTTCAAAAGTCCCTTATCCAATTATTCTAACCTCAGACCTTTTTTTAGTTGCCATCCCTTCTAAGCAATAACCTAGGGCAGGTTAACAGACTGTCCATAACCCTCCTTTTTACATCAATCCTTTGTGATACATAAGCAAGTAATTCTGGGGGAAGAATCAAATGGCACTTCCTTGAAATGATAATGCCAAATATCTGTTGAAGACTATTCATGTTTAACAATCTTGAATGAAACAGAAGAATGGTGGTTATCAGGGATGGGGGAGAGGGAGGAGGTTGGGGAGATGTCAGCAAGAGGGTTCAAAATTTAAGTTAGAAAGTAGAAATAATTCAAGAGATCTATTATACAACAAGCTGCCTATTGTTTATAACAATGTTTAAACTCTTGAAAATCACTAAGGAGTTGATTTTAAGTAATTCTCATCACACACAGATTTATATATATATATATATATATATATATAGAAAGCATGTGAGAAATGTGTAGCTTGATTTATTAGACATTCCAAAATGTGCACATATCAAAACAGTATGTTGTCCATGATAAATTCCTTTTTTTGTTAATTTAAAAAATAAATTTAGGACTGGAGATGCAGCTCAGTGGTACAGTGTTTGCCTAGCATATATGAGGTCCCGAGTTCCATCCCCAGCACACACAAACTTTAAAAAGTAAGCAAACAAAGAAAAAGGAAAAAAATTAAAAGTACAAATCAATTAAAAATGATATATGGAACCTTCTCCCCCAAGGTACTGCTCATTGTATCAACCCAAATATCAGTTGAACTTTCCTAGGTTCTTGTCAAAGCTCAATTGAGAGACTTACCTGTTCCTGGGTCATCTTCTGCAGCTCATTTTCCCAAGCTGCCTGGTCATCGTCCAAGTTATAGGAAGCTGGTGGAGTAAGTCCACGAAGGATTAGGGGGTCTCGGTCATGGCAGAGGGCTGTCAGGTGTCCAATATACAACTTTAACTTGCTTCTATTTTGGTCAAGTTCTAACAGGGGTTGAATAATCTGAGATGGAAAAAAACGAGGAAAGTCAAGATCAATCTGAAAAGAGAGGTTTAAATATTCTTTATGTCTCTCAAGTCAAATAAAATGACCCAAGACTAAAAGCTCTTCTAATTACTATTACAATCTTCAGGATTATAAAGAGAAACAGTTCCACATACTGCTGCACATTTACATAGTCAAACCCACCACCACTCTGGGAGACAGAGCATGCTGGCCTAGTATATTAACACCAGACCAAGATTTCTGTATTTGGGGGTGGGGGAACTGAACACAAGACCAGCTTGTATTTTACAGAGATGCTATTCCCAATGTGGAAAGTCTCTAGTTAGCTCACAATTTTTCTTTTCACTTCTTTGGAGGTAATAGGTTTCAAAAATTTGCTAGTGAAAATTGCTCATCTGAAAGCCTGGACTACATACACTTCATTTGTTCCTCCACCTCCTAGAATGGAAGAAAAATTCTGTCTCTGGAGAAAGTGCATGTTTTTCTTGGCCAAGAGATGTGATGAGAGAACTTATTACTAAATCTGCCTCATCCTGGCTTAGCTCCCCTCATTCATTTCACAGAGGCTATCCAATATTCTTTTTAAACAGTGACTGATAAATCCTTATATAATACCATACACCTGACTCATAGCCAAGGACTCTAAAATTCTCACTTGTAACACTGGTTCTGTACTTTTCTTAAATAACAGACCTACTCTAAATTTCTTTTCTACTCCCTTTACCCTGGCTGAATAACTATCGAGGGCACACTAACTGACTGCTGACTTCTGCCCCAGAATTTCACTTGACAACCCTTGTGGCAATACTCTGGCCAGATATTTGATAGTCAGTCACAGCTTGGGGTGTTAAGGAAGAGTTGAGCCCAGTCCTGCATCACAGCATGCTGAAGTGCTATGCACTTGATGCACAGCAGCTGTGGGAGCTGCAAGCATTGCCAAAATGCCGGCCATTCTCAGAGTGTTCCCAGGGCTTCCAGGGCAGAGCTCTGCACCTGTTGTATGTCATCAAGGCTGGCATTTTTTCAACAGAATACCTCTGACCCACCTCATGAATGAGGAGCTCAATAATCTTCAGGTCAACAGAAACAATGCCTGGTATTACTTTCCATAGTGACACTGATTTCTCAGTGGACCCTATAGAAAACAATCTTTAACTTACTTAGTGAGATCAGAGTTCAGAGTTTAGGCCTATAGAGTATGATACAGAAATTGGGGCATGGCTAGGCAAACCAGAGGAAAATAAATCAATTCAGCATTATTGTAATTTTTACATTTATACACATACACACACACACTCACACACACTCACTCTCCCTCTCTCTCTCTCTCTCTCTCTTCTACAAGGATCACAGCTAAACACTAAAGTACTACTGTAGAAGGCTCTTAGGCTTTCTAAGAGACCCCCTAATCAGCAGGCGCATGGTACCAGGTCTGCTCCGGAATTTCCTAGCTATGATAGGCATATCAACACAGCAGTCACAAAAGAGTGTCTCAATTAGGCAGAAGGTTTGAATTTAAACAGTTATTCACAATCACCACCAAATTCTCAAAAAGAATTGTATTTTATTTCTGAACTCTAATACACATTCACTGTAGAAAGTTTTAAAACTTTATGTATGTATACTTGGTACGTCCGTGACAAAAGTCATGGTTTTGATACCACAACTCCTAGAACTGCAAGTAATACATTCCTATCTCATTTTCTTTCTTTCTTTTTTCAGCTTGGTCTTCTCCATCTTCAGAGACACACTGACAAAAAATCACTTTTGAGATTCTTCGTTGGGTTTGTGCAATTTTTTTTTCATTCTGTGTATGTAGCTGCCAGCACAAAAAATGCTACATCTGGCCTGCAAGGCTGAAAGAGCTGCTATCTTAGGTCATTACCATTTTGGATTGGAAAACTGTAATAAGAAAGTGCAGCCACGTAGGAAGGGGACAATACAATAAATGGTCATAATGGAAAGGTCATGTTCCTAATGAAATGTAGGACAATAGCTCACTACTACTACCATGTGTGGGGATATTGATTGTTTAGGTCCTTCTTCTTCTTCTTCTTTTTATTTTTTAAAATTTGCTCTGATCAGTTATACATGACAGTAAAATGCATTTTGACACATCATACACAAATGGAGTATAACTTCTCATTCTTTTGGTTGTACATGACTTTAGATCCTTATTCTTAATCAAAAAAGGGATTTTAAACTGATTTTAATGCATTTGATGCTGATGTACTGGTTAAGTAAAAAAAAATAAGGCAGTATTTTTGCATACTGAAAATTTCAAATATAATTTAAAAACTTAAAAAGTAACAAATTGAACTTTTCTTTTACAGGATGAAAAATTCATTCTATACAATAGTCAAAATGTTTGTGCTTTCTTGCTCTGTCAAAGGCACATATTTTAAAAACAAAAGCAAAAATTAGAGAGCTTACTACTTAAAAGTTTATGAAACTCAACTAGCACAGTCCCCAAATCTGTCCATTAAAACAATGACTTTGGCCTCTCTAGAACATATTGACCATGTCAGTCATGTGGAAAACTCTTATCTCTCCTTTTTCCCCTATCTAATTTGAGCAGTCCACTTAGAAACAAAACTGCGGACTCCCACAAGGTAGAATGACACTGCCTAATCTCAAGAGGGAAGAAGGGTACTTGCCAAATAGAAAAGAAGATGCCTGGTGGGATCTGTAAATTAACAGTTTTTGTCCACATACAGCTTCAGTGCATTGCCAAAGGAGTTCTACCAAAAATTATCAGGAATGTGGTCAGGCCAATTTGCTTCTATAATTATGCCAAACTAGTGTGTGTGTGTGTGTGTGTGTGTGTGTGTGTGTGTGTGTGTGTATTTGCACCAGGAAAAAATAAGTTAAAAATAAATTTGTCAAGATAACCTTTGGTTATACCAAATATGCCAAAATGTCAGTATTCCCAATGCTATACTTCAAATTGCAAATTGTTAAGAAAATAAATGATAGAAAGGAGACATTTTTGGTTCAAGTATTAAGTGCTTTGTTTGCTCTTACAAGGATCTGTTTGTATTAGATTCTCAAATAGGTTTTCATAGGTCAGTATCTGATGGCATATGGGAGACACAGGGATAGTGGTCTTGAAGGTGTTCACTTTAACCTCGTTCTCATTTGAGTAAGGTTAGATGACTAATGGGCTCTGGGAAGACAGATGAGTTGCTCCTGTATTGTTTGATACAGAGAGTAACCAGAGCCTATAGTATTTCAATTCTGCAATCTATTTATCTATGAGATCTGAACATACTTTCTCAGACCAGCTGACTTTTCCATACTGCATACAATGTAGAGAATGAAAGGCCAGCTCCATCAGCCAACAAGATGGCCTGCTATTCTCTTCCCACTCTCCTCTTTCTGTCAGATATTTACTCTAAGTATAGGTTAGTTGGTTGCAACACATTCAAGGAAGTCATTTTGAGAGGTACGGAATATACTCATCATAAAGACTCATCATAAAGACTGAATGAAGAGGTACTGAATATTATTTGGGATATTGATATTATTGCCCTCAAGGAACTGGCATTTTATTGTTTGAAAGATACCACTTTTTAAAGCTAACATGTATTGATTACTCACTGAATTCCTGGCAAATTACTTTTATGATTTTTCTGTGGCTAGCTCACAGTCCTGAATTGGCTACAAAATGTATTGCTCTTTATTTTATTTACCTGCTGAAGTCTTCAGAGGCAGGTCCAACTGCCTATATATTAATTAAGTAGTTTTAATTCCTTGTTGGATTGTCATTCCACTGTTATCTCTCAATGTAGAGTGAATTAAGAAAGACCTGAAAATTACTAACTTTCCAGAAATGTTATTGTTTTAATGCCATTCTTTTCCAGAGGCTCCAGTAGAGAGTTAAACTGCCCCCCTCCCCCCCCAAAAAAAAAGAACAAAATTCATTTATCCTGCCTCAAAGTCTTTATTCCCCCCATTACTATATTTATCTTCTTGTTCAATAACATACTTCAGAATCAGGAAAAGGAAGGACAGTGTGTTAAGCCTCTTTGCAAAGGTTTGGAGCTACATGTTTAGCATTCTTTAAAAAAATACAGTAAAACCCTATAAATATTTTCCTTATACTGATCAGATATACTGGCATATCAAATCACAATTAATAAAACAAAAATAATTCAGTTAGACATTCAGTGAATGCCTTTGTGTCATGCCAGCTTTAATTGATGAGACTATTAAAAATAACATGTAGTCCTACTCTACAAAATAACAAAATTTTGTTGTTGGATGTATATAAATATTTAAATTGTGTGAATGCTTATTTTTGTTTTAACTTGAAATTTTTTTTTTTTTTTTTTTTTTTGGTAATGGGGATTGAACTCAGGAGTGCTTTACCACTGAGTTTGTATCTCCAGTCCATCTATTCATTCATTATATTTTTTAAATTAAAAAATATTTTTAGTTGTAGATGGACACAAAACTTTTATTTAATTAATTTATTTTTATGTGGTGCTGAGGATCAAACCCAGTGCCTCATATGTGCAAGGCAAGCACTATACCACTGAACTACAACCCCAGCCCTCATTCATTATTTTGAGACAGGATCTTGCTCAGTTGCTTAAGGCCTGACTAAGTTGCTGAAGCTGGTCCTGAACTTGGAATCCTCTTGCTTCTATCTCCTGAGTTGCTGGGATTACATGCATTTGCCTCCATGTCTGGCTTAACTTGAAGTTTAATTTACTTCCAGGAATACTCAAATTGCTAAATAAATCCCTTTGCCTTGATTTGAGGTTTAGTGTGATTCAGGCTTCATAAATATGCTTATGGGGCTGGGGATGTGGCTCAAGTGGTAGCGGCGCTCGCCTGGCATGCGTGCGGCCCGGGTTCGATCCTCAGCACCACATACCAACAAAGATGTTGTGTCCGCCGAGAACTAAGAAAAAATAAATAAATATTAAAATTCTCTCTCTCTCTCTCTGTCCCCCCCCCCACTCTCTCTTTTAAAAAAATACTTTATTATT